ACCAAATGTTGTGCTTTAATGCTGTTGGAGTTATTTGCTAAGTCGTCACTATGAAGCACCAGGACAAAGGGCTTCAGACCACCCTTTGTCTACTGAAGATTCTTTTTGTTTTGGGGCATTCCTTGACTACGTAGTTGTTCTTTTCGATGCTTCGGAGTCACTTTCTTTGACCTTTGAATGTCTCAGCCAAGTTATACAGAATATATGGCATGTCGCATACAAAATTCTGTCGAAAACCACTGCTATCATTACTAAGGCTGTTCGCACATATTTTAGACGATTTTCAATATATTTAGAGAAATATTTTACCTAAAATTTGTGTGTTTTAAATGCTCCATTTGATAAACCTTATTCTTCAGTATCTTTCTACACCGTAATTTCCAAGACAATAAATCATTTTAGTAGCGTAAGAGGTATTTTATCCCATTCCTTTTGAACAGCTTTCCAAAGTACAAGGAGGGTTGTAGGCCGACGTCTGGAGAATCCGCATTTTAAAAGTCCAAAGCGCAAAAATCCGTGGATGATACATCAGGAAATTTAGTAGGGGTATGAGTGAAGGGTACAGCCTTAATACAGGTTTCTTGTTCCATCTTTTACAGGAATTAACAGTGGACTTTGCTGAATGCTTTGTCTTGATGCTTTGTCCTGATGCAGTTCTACTGATTGGGTAAAAATGGGTATAAAATATGTTCGCGATAATATATAAAGTTGACCTTAACAGTTTTTTCACTCTCTTTAATTTTTATTTTTCATTATATCAAAAAACAGCAACAATCATATATCCCTTTGTAAAACTTTCTTTATATTCGTTGAACCATGTTTTAAGATTTTTTTTCTTCCCTTTGATGGAAATAAATGGATCTCTCTTTATTGCGGTCATTTAAATATACACAAAATTCATCTCTTGTGACAACAGTTTTCCCATTTTTGTCCGAATAATTGTTTCTCATTGACAATTCTCATTTATCTAGCGTCCAGCGTTTTCTGCCTTCGGCGATATGTCGTGGAGATATACGATGCACATTGCGTTTTTTAGCCTTTTTACTATTCAAATCTGCCTTAATCACTTTGTTTACAGTTGCCACTGAGCATTTTAATGATTTTGCAACTGTTCTTTGACTTCGAAGGTTTTCTTTTAACATTAAAGTTCTTACCTTTGCAACATTTGAAACATTCCGTTTGTTTCCTTGGATATGTATTTTGAGCAATTTTTCTCCTTGAAGCTAAACTTTGACTTTTTTCCCCTTTTTTTTTACTGACAATATTATCTATCGTTGCTTTAGATACCGAAAACTCATAGCTTTCACAGCATTTTCTAATAACTAAATACGAATATTTTTTTCGGAAGGAGCACAGACAAAGCCTTCCGTGTATTGCTTTTTCAAAAGCACAATTTTGAATGAAACCAAAATTGTCAAATAGCAGACTATAATTTGTAGTTTCAAAATTTAGTTGCAGTTAAAAGAAATTTCCTAGAGGCGATTTTTCTATAGCAAAGTAAACTCGTCTAAAAAATGTGCGAACAGCCTCTGCACTAGTGAGTGAGCTGTGAAGTAGTTTTAGCTCATTACTGAGATTCTAGCTGTACCATCCACAGTATATTACTACGTTTCATGTAAATGTAGTAGAATATTTACCACCAAATATAGCTGCTACTGACACACTGGCATACGCCGTTCAAATGCCAACTATAGAAAAACCGTCAAACTAGGTGAAGTTGAAGTCTTCTCTATGACTTCTAAATGTTTATAGATTACTAACAAAGAATAATTATATACAAACAACAAATAACCCCAGCTGATATTGATACCAAGCTTTTTTTATTGGTGACAATGTAGATATTTTTAAATGATATATTACATGTATATTTTCACAAAAATTAGAATTACCTCAATAAAGACGCTTTAGACACCAAATACGCCCACGCAAAATTAATAAATAATTAAATAAACATGTTTTTAAACTATCTGTCTTCCCTATAGTCTGTACTTTTTCCTTGTGTTCCAGTTCGATGATTATCATTATTTACAGTGTTATTCACATGTCAATAAACATTTAAAAAAATTCGTATTTTGGTAAATTTTATTACAATAAGCATAGAAAAGCTAAAAGAAGGAAAAGAGAGCGCTTTAACAATTCTGTTAAACAATTTTTTTTAAGACAATTGTATCCGCCATCCGCTGTTTCATCTTAAAAGATTGCAAAATACCACAAAATATATATTAAATTTGGCCTGAAGATATGTAAAGATATAAGGACAATAGAAACCGCATTAGCACGGGAATATCTGGATACGCAGCATCTTATAAAATGTCCATTTACATAAAGGGATTTCTTCACATCCATGACTTCAGCCCATAATCAATAATTACAAAATTTCGGGTCTAGAGATTTGGATGAAGAAAATAACAGTTTATTACTGGATTCATTTTAAAATTAAGACTAACATTTGTCTACAAGAAGAACTATATACTGATGCTTTATTTTGAGAGAATATCACACTATTAATGCTTGCTTTAACTTCAGCTTACGTAAAATGCTCTTTTGCGATAAATTAGTGTAATGTGGCTGTGACAGAAACAGTCCAGACGCAGAATGTTCCCCTATTGTATGGCAAGAGCCATCTAGTGGATATAACTGTAACTAAAATTTTACATAATGAAATTATTTAAAAACAAACAGTTAATTTTACGCGTTTATGCGCTCAGTGCATTACTACACATTGTAAATTAAACAAAATAACAAATTTTTTTAATGTTTACTGATTTCTTGATCATCCTGTTCAGTTCATTGAATTTTTAATTTAATGAACTCGCTAGGAAAGAGACAAAGAAAATTCAAAACTAAATTAGAGCTGAAATAAAATAATACTTGCTTAATTAATTATTTTCTTATAGCTCGGTCATATATAAATACAAAGGATTTCTAAGGTTACATAAATATAATTATTTCTCACTGTTGTTTAATATAATCATAAAAGAATCCTAGGCTCTACAATTCTTAAATCTGCAAAAGGGATTTTCACCTCTTTTAGCAAAAACAAATGACATTTGTTGAAAATATTACTTCCTTACGTCGTGATTTCTCAGAAAAGACATTTCCATGAAAATAATGATTCCTTTATTCAAAAAACGTATTCGGCATGAAAAAAAGTTTCTATAGAGCGGGAAATTTGTTATAGAGCTTGCCGATCAAACATATCCTTTGGGAAGGATGATAAATACTTATATTGGTTGACTAAAAGAACTTTTCCAGTGTCATTAATTTGTTCCAAGTGTATAAAACAATGCCATCTTCTGCAGATAAATTAATATGAGGGTACATAAAAAACTGAAGGAGCGAGGAAAAGAAACCATACATTCGTTATCGACATCAATTGTATCACATTACTGATATTTCACTAAATTTGTTTTAATCTTGTTCAAATCGACCAGTGATTTGTAACGTATCTTACTGGGTAGTGAAAGTGCAAGGCATGAAAGTACTTTGATGTAGGAGGGTTCAGTTGGACCTTAGAGAAAATAAAATAATAAATGATGTATAAAATAAAATATAAAATTTGCCTGTAGCATGTGCAACGTTATTTGTTATCTAGTATTTTTTTTAATTTTCATGAAATGTCTTTTATTTCGCCTTAGATTTGTAACGTTTTTCTCCTTCATTACCGCTCGCTTTCGTGGTGTAACTGGAACGTACGTCCGGTTAGAATCGGAAGGTCCGGAGTTGGAGTACATTTTTTACTTCTCTTGCATAAATTAGAATAAGTAAAATGAAATGCCTTGCGGTTTCTACTTGTGGCGCTCGGACTGAAAGGTTGTAAGGATTATGTTAATTTTATTAACAGTTAAATTTTAAGTTAAAGTTCCTTTCCTGTCAAATTCTTAACTTCAACTTACTACTTCCGGCCAGAAAGTAGTTTTGGAATTTGCTATATTTAATTAGGAGGAGCGGTATTTAAACCACGAAGTTACTTACTGAGTCAGAGAGAATCAGAGTTTCTGATTTACGCGCGTCTGCTTTTTTGGCCACTCTCTCTCTCAAAGCTGTTATTACGCTCGGCCGTACTCAGGCCCTTGCTAAGCTTCGTAGTCAAATAAGTTAAGGAGGCCAACTCGTTTTGAACCTTGATAGCTTCGGCTATACTTCTTTAATTAATCTTAGTTTTAGTTTAATTCTTAGTCTTTTAAGTTCAAGTCCAAGTGCGGGCTTTGCTTGTACACTCCCAGGCGGAGTTTTGTTAAATCTTATTGGAATAATAAAGGGTTAGTTACCCTTCTATCTTGTTGTTTCTTGTCACCGAACACAAGCGATTATTCGCTTATCAGTTCTTAGATTCTTCACTTCCAACATTAACTTAGAGTTCCAAAGTGAGGAACTCTACAAGGTGATGGACTACAATCCGTCACTCCAGTGTTTGGTGGAGTGGAGGAAAATGTATAAAGTTTTTCTCTCTCCCCTTGCTTTCGTGGGATAACTGGAAGGGAGTCCGGTTGGCATCGGAAGGTCTCGAATTCGAGTCCCGATTAAAGCATAGCATATTTTTACTTCTCCTGTTCCAAATTAAAAGCCTAATAATCTCTACAAGTTTATTGCAAGAGCTTCTATTTAAGCCATTCTAACATTTTAAATAATTTTGCAACTTCTAAACAGATATAACATACACAAATTGAAAGGCCCTTAGAAAATGCATTGATTTTTGACTCTGCTTTCAGAGAACAACATTCGAAACTATTTGAAAGTGAAAAGTCAGTTAATTAATTAAGTTTCAGAGAAAAACGTTCGAAACTATTTGAAAGTGAAAAATTAAAATTATGTTCATCTCCCATTGTTAAAAACAACAATTTAATTCAGTATCGAACTCTTTTTAGGTAACCATGTAAAAAGCAAAAACCGTACGACCTTTATAAACGATATTTATATGCCGTTGAGAATATATTTCTAAATTAAATTAATTAATTAATATTGTTTGACTATAATAAAATAACCTGGACATCACTTACATGTCCTCCTTATTATTCCTCTTTGAAAGCGCGTATATTTCTCAGCAACAATTTTTCTTTATGACACCTGTAAAGAGTAAAAAAAGGGAAAATATTTCATACCAAAAAATACTCTTCTCATTTCATGTTTATAAATCTAGGTGTACAAACATCTTTATAAAAAGAACAAACTAATTGTTCCTATAAAAAAATTTTGTGCTGTCCCTTTTTCCTAATAAACATCTTTTACATTAAAGCGTAAGGTACATTTTATGCTGATTAATGATACGGATCATACATTGTTTATTAATAAACACTAAATTCTGCACAAAGCCCTTGGCACAGTTTTGTTTAGCTATGATACTTTGTTAAATAAGGCAAATATCCTATTGAAATATGAATGGGTACTACTTTACGAACGAGATTCTTCAATTTAAAAACTTAGCCCCATAGAATTGCAGGTACATTATGGCAAGGCACTCTATAAAAATCTCTGTTCCAGAATAACATTGTTACACTTTCATAATCCATTTTGCCAGCCAATCAATAAGCGACGTGTCTGTAATATAATTTGAAATTGTTTTGCAATTTGTAGTACCAGTAAGGCTTGGAAACAACTGATAGCTGCCGTAACAAGAAGTGAGGTCATGTCTGTAAAGATATTACTTGCCTGGTAGACATGGGCTGCATGTGCACTTCCTGCAGAGATAATCAGTTAAGCACGCATGATATATTGATCATTATTTTAGTTATTGTCAATCAAACTTTCGCTGATATTTATGTGTTTTGGTGCTTTCTTTTACTATGAGAATGGGCTATTAGGACCACCACTGTTTCGGGAGCTATTTGAGAAGATTGAGTTGTGCGTCTATTCTGGGACTACGAAGGTAGAATGTCCCATTTACGTGTAATTAACTATACATTGTTACGTATGTTGCAAAAAACTTACTGCTTCTATTTTGTTTTCTTTTCTCTTGTATACTTCTCATCGTCACGCAGTTAAAAGGCATTTAAAACAGTAGGACCTCAATAAAACACTTTAACATGTATTGCTCATTGGTAGACAGGGAGGCCATATCCTATGCATTTCAGAGCAGTGGGAAGGGAAAATAGGTGACTGCTTATTTTGTTTTCTCCGCATAAAAGGGAAAGTCGGCACTTCCACTCTATTTACATCCTTTCTCTTCTCGTTTGTTTGTCATGAGATGGCTTGTTGTTTCCGTCTACTTTTCCTTCAATTTTCCCTCCCATAGGCGAAGAACCTTTTATTGCCTTTATCTCTTTGTTCAGTCTTACGTAATCCTCCTTTATTTCTCAAGTGCTCCGTGAAAGGAAAATACTTTCGTTTTTTTCCGTGGGTGCCACAAAGATTTCATTCTTTTTATGTGCTCTTCAAATTCTTTTTCTAACTCTTCTCAATATTATGAAGGGTTAATGCCAGCAAATCTGATATTTGGCATTCAGCAGGTTTTCTAGTGAAAGTGCTTGTCGATCGAAAAATACATAATTCATGTTACAAAAGCTAATTATATAACCCGTCACTTACCTTTTCCACATGAATAGAAGTATATTTGTCTGTCACTGGAAATTTTGAATGTCATACTAAGAAGTGCAAAGGTTAAAGCTATATTAATACAAATAGCTAATATTGATATCGAAAATATAAATTCAATATTGCTTTTAATATGAAGTCTAGAATTGTATTACGGTAAATAGGAATAAATAAATGCTGTTTTAACTTCGAAAATTATGTTTTAAGAAACGGAATACTTACGGTAAGATCTATGGTTTAACTTTTATGATCAAAATCATAAAATAATTCTTTTGTTTTTAAAATATTAAGGATTTTTTCTGAAATTATTTGGATATATCCAAAATAATTTATTCAATAACATTTATTCTTTCCTAGTTTGAAAATTATGAAATGCTATTTAATAATTTAAATAATGAACTACAAACTTTAAACGTATTCTACGTTCTAATTCTTGGTTTATAAAGATTCTGCCTGTTGATATTTAAAATCTCAGCTCTAACCTCTTAAAAGGTTTCGTGCCAGTTAATTTCATCAGTAATGTCAAAGTTTCATCAGTAATCAAGTTCCAAATTTTTCAGTATCCGAAAGCAATGATTGTATACAAAAGAGAATCAATTTCATTAACATAAGCAGTATGCCTCGGAATAACTTTTGCTATGAAATGTTTCAGGAATTATGAAATTTTATAACTGATAGCATGTATATTAATCTAATAACAAATATTTTTAATGAATTTCGAAAACACATTTATTATTTTATCGTGACTTAGCTATTACTATTCTAAAATAAAATAGTATCCTTTGTGTGAAATGTATAATCATAAAATAATCAGTTTTACTTTATTAAAGACTTCTTAAAACATACGTAATCTACTTTGATTTAATGTAATTATACATCAGTTTTACAGTTTGCACTTGTTACGGGTCAAAACTAAATATTTACAAAATATTTAGTTCCTTCGTAGAGTTTTCTGTGTTACCACTGAGAAAAACCACCAAACTCAGTACTTATTCTACTGTAAATTTGATATTTGACATTCCAGTAATAACTTATTGCTCGTTTAAGCATAATACCTAATGGCCATTCTTCAGACGGGCAGAAATGTAATATTTGTTCATACTTCAAATATACAAAAATTTCCCATTGCATAATTCAAAGAAAGGAAATTTTTGTTTTTATATATTAATTAAAAAATCTTTAAACTTTCATATTTTTATATTTCATACTGGCTTGCTACAATACTTTACAGTATTGTAGCAATATTGACTTGCTGCAACATTTCCTTAAAAGACGATATTGACTTGCTACATTATTTCCTTAAAAGACGAGTCTTATTTAAGAATTCATTCACATAAATATTATTGTAATGATTATTGCGTAGTTAATGAAACTCAAAAACAATTACTACTTTATTTCATAATATCACATTAAAGCATTTTTAATTTTATTCTATTTTTTTTAAATTCACCTACTTAATATATATGTAATTTTAAATAATTTAATCAGCCTTATATAAAATATAATATGAGCGTAATTGTAACAAGACACTTCGAATATATTGAAAATCTGATACATTAAAATATACAAATCTCAGACGCTTTAATTAAAAGACTAATATGTACAAAGGAAAAAAAAGTACATTTTTATTAACAAAATTAAACAACCTTAACAAAAATAAAATATGCATGAAAAATGTATTAGGTAAACTGGCTATATTAAGATCAGAATCTTTTTAACAACGTCATGTCTTATGGAGGAATTTGAATTTTCCAGTGTGATCCGGAAACTAAACGGAAGTTAATGCACTAAAAGAATCTGATATGGGCACCACATGACTTCCTTGTACTGCCTATTTATTTATACACATTTTTTGCTGCACTTCATTTAAACTTATTCCCTCGAATTATTCTAACTTAATCGATCCCTCAAGGCCAGTTGAAAATGACATTAAAAACAGTAAACTTTTAAATTAACTATCCCGGTCAATTTTTGTAGAACCATAGTCAAATTTCTTATAATTTTATTTTTTTCATAACAAACATAAAACTTTCCCAAATATAAGTATAGGAAGAGGGAGACAACATTAAAAGTTAAATTTCATTATTTGTCAAAAATTAATTATTTTTTCTTATTTCACATTGCCAAAACCTGAATATTTTCGTCATTACACTTCTGTATCTAGAAGTATATGAGTACGACTATTGATTACGATAGTAAAAGCCAGTAAGGGGGTAGGTATACAAACATACATATAGATAGAGAGAGAAAGAAAATAGTAAGAAGTTTAGAACCAAAACCAGAAGACATACATGTTCTTTTGTTCTTCCAATTGTAAGTTCAAAATTTTAGTTCCGTGTCAATTATTAATAGATTTTGTAAATTATTTTCATCTAAGTAAATAGTATATATTTTACTTTTGCTTTATTAGACATTAAATCTATTTCATTTAAATTTGTTTTTGTGCATTTTTATTTCATATGAAAGAAGGGCGACCGTGTAGAGGAGGCATTCAGAATTTTCGGATGAACTATTATAATTAAGTAATTTAAAATGGTTCATCAGCTACTTTTGGGTGAACAGAAACGCAGTGGGTTTCCTGGGAGGAGGGGTCCAATGAAATCTGATCTACCTCCTCTTGATAAAATTAAATTAGATTTTGTTGAATCAGATTTGTGTTCCTTTTCCTATTATATTTATTTTTATGTATTTCTGTCGTTTTCGGGATTTAATCTCGTTTAAAAACACGAAGTCGAGGGTTTTTTTTCCCTCATTCTTTATTAAAAGATTAAGCGGTTATACTGGTTTTAAATTTCGTTTCTTTCATAATTTTGTGGTTTTGATTCCAAATTTGTTACTATTTTCTCTGTTATTGATTAATTTTTCAGCAGCATCTTCGGAAATAATATTGGGATATTTTTGTTTTAAAACGTATATATATAACATCACAAAATTTATATATATGTGTAGTATTCGACTAAATTAAATGTAGTATTTTCGATGTGTAGGAGAAATCCTGTACTTTTTAGCAGCTTTTGATATCCGTCATGGGTGATGGTTAAGGCATACAGATGAAGATAACAAAACCGGATTTCGACAGATCACCAATCTTTATTTTCCCACCTATCAAAAATAATCCTTTTGCAGACAAGATATTTTTTAATCATAGTGATAATACAATAATTTTCATGTACACGGGTTTTTAAAGTATGACGTACGCATTTTGGACGACAGGACAGCGTAAGCGGGGTAAAGTTGTTTGCAGGGTAGAAGCTAGGAAAAGGAATGACGTAGTTGTTTTCCAATGAGTATTTATACCTAGTTAGAAGCAGAAAGTACTCAAAACTGTAATTGACTAATTTTAGTTTTAGTTACTTTTTTCAAGCAGCCTTATATAACATAAGCAGCGGAGGAAGAAGAGATGAATTTGGGGGGGGGAAGAGCAAACACAAAATCTAGAATAGTTAATTTTGAGGTCGCCTATCATTCTTAAAGCAGCCATCGTATTTCGTTATATCTTACATATATATATTAAATAGTACCATAATATATATATA